CAAATACTTTTGAATCGATGGAACAACCGATTCAAAAGTATTTGTACCAATTACATCGCTATGTTTTACATCGGTTAACAGCTGATTTCAAAGATAAAAAACATAGCGATGTAATTGTTTTTTATCTTTGAAATCAGCTGTTAACCGATGTAAAACATAGCGATGTAATTGGTACAAATACTTTTGAATCGGTTGTTCCATCGATTCAAAAGGTACCTCCCCGAACTAGCGCCAGTCCTGGGAGGCACCTTGTAAGCTAATAACTTACTCAAAATGTGCCTCTCAGAATTGGTGCCTGTTATGGGAGGCACCTTTTGAATAAGTTATTAGCTAACAACCGATTCAAAAGGTTATGTTTTTTAATAGATTCTCTAACAGCGGACTACATCTGACAAAAAACAGCAAAACATACAACACGAAACTAAAACATAACACAACATAACCCAAAAAAACACACCTTTACATAATAGGGGGTAATATAACAACTATCTTCATACATTTTTATATTTTTCTTAGATTTAATTGTTCACTTTCAATAATCAAAAAAAATATGATATAATATTACTTAAAATGTCATACACTCAAAGTATTATTAACATTAATGAATGAATGACAAATTAGTTTAAAAGGCATACTTGATATTCCAAATTAGTCCTTAGAAATTAAAGTTTTAAAACCATTAACAACAATCCATTATAATCCCAAAAGTAGGCTGTGGTATGTGTGTGTACGCAGATCTTACTTCTATTGAAAAGTAGAGAGATTATTTTCGAAAGACTCTCAACTCAGACAAGAAGAGAAGCATATATATATCATTGATAGAATTTGGGATGGGTATGAACAACTGGATTGGGTAATAAGACACTTGGGTTGAACCACATCAAAAGATTGAATCCAATTCATTAGTTAGTTCAACTCAAGAGCTTATATACCGATTATTTTTCTCACACTTTTTCGATGTGGGATACTCTTAACACTCCCCTCAAGTGGATAACCGGGCCATTTTGAATCTAATCGGTTGACCACTTGCAAATGAACTCCCATTCTCTTGACTTTTTTTAGCGTCAACACCTAAATGACCACGAGCCGCTGGGTATGAACTTCCAGACGAGCAATCGTGTTAAACGCGCCACAGGCTGTTGGGTACATACTCCATACAGACAACTGAGCTAAAGACTAATGGGCCGCTATGAATGAACGTCTAGACGGACACCTTGAGAAACGAGGTGGGCCAAAACCTGCTCTGATACCATGATAGAATTTAGGATGAGTATGGACAACTAGATTGGGTAATAAGACACTTGGGTTGAACCACATCAAAAGATTGAATCCAATCGATTAGTTAGTTCAAGTCTAGACCTGGCAAAACGGTCGGTCAGGTCGGGTTCGGGTTCGGTCACATCGGGTTCGAGTCACTTCGGGTTCGGGTCTAAAGATGCTTGTTCATGACCCAGAGCTATCGGGTTCGGGTTGACCCAACGGGTTAAGAGGCGTATTTAAAAATTGTAAATTTTGCATTCAGAGATGAAGTGATCAATGCATTTTTTCAAAACATAGAAAAAAAATCATTCAAAACAACAACAAAAAAGTAAACATAGCAAAAAATTTTAAACATCATCATGTCCCAAATGAACAATTCAAGCACACTAATCAAAATACCAAATAATTTAGAGTTCAAACAAAATGATTAGAAGTTCATTCTCAAGTGAAGTCATTCCCCATATCAATTTGATGCTTATCACGAGTAGCTTATCATGATGAATAAACTGTATTAAACACATCAAAAGTTGGGGAAGAATCAAAGCAAACCAAGAGAGCAAAAGCCTTATCTTGAGTTCTAGACATATGCAAAATTGCA